TGTATGTGTGTGTGTGTGTATGTGTGTGTGTGTGTGTGTGTGTGTGTGTGTGTGTGTGTGTGTGTGTGTGCGTGCCTGTAAATGTACACAAGTGTGTGCTTGTGTACGTGTATGTAGTCCATTGTTTTTGTGTCGACATTATAATATGTTTGCCAACGCTGTTTGGAAATAGCAAAGGGTGCTCTAGTGGTATCTCTAACCGGTGAAATGCAATTATTTCAGTATTACTTCTCTTCTCAGGTGTCCTTATCTAGCGGGTGGTTTGAGAATGCCACTGATAGGTCCTTTTTTATCTCTCCCTCAGATATTTCTGTCTATCTGTCGTGCTTTTTCACTGGGTTAGATTGAAGTTATCGTGTCAATGTGTTTCTCTTTAAACCAACAACCAGATAAGTGAAGTATGGTTGCTGCAGTGTTGACTGGTAGTCTAGTATATGAGTATGCTAGGGCTGTTATAGCAATATTATGATAGAGCAGTGTTGGCTGGTAGTCTAGTATACGAGTATGCTAGGGCTGTTATAGCAATATTATGATAGAGCAGTGTGGGCCAGCAGTATACACTGTTTCCAAGATAATTATATTACATAAAATTACATCTCGTGCCAAACGTGCCACAAAACTTGTACGAAGAATAATTGCAATACCTAAAGACATCTTCAGTCACTGAGTATCGTCCTGGGTATTAGTATTGTTTAAGGTAGTATGGTATGGATAGTACCGAGTAGGTAGTTGACATGGTATAGTATGGTATGGCATTGCATGGTATGGGTTGTACACCTATAGTATGATATGGTTAGTATGGTAGTGTGCATAATATGGTACCGTATGGATAGTATGGTATGCTAGTGCAAGTATTGTGTGGGTAAATCTACTATGGTATGGAAAAGTTAGTATAGTGGTATTCTGTAGACAGTATAGTATGCTATGTGCAGTGTGATCAGGGGAGTATGGAATGGTGAGTATAGTATGCTATGGGTAGTATGGAATGGTTAGTAAAGTATGCTATGGGTTTTGGGGAATGGTTAGTGCTATGGGTAGTATGGAATGGTTAGTGCTATGGGTTGTGTGGTATGATTAGTATAGTATGTTATGGGTTTTGGGGAATGGTTAGTATAGTATGCTATGTGTAGTATGGAATGGTTAGTATAGTATGCTATGTGTAGTATGGAATGGTTAGTATGTATGCTATGTGTAGTATGGAATGGTTAGTATGTATGCTATGGGTAGTGTGGTATGGCTAGTATGTATGCTATGGGTTTTCTGGAATGGTTAGTATAGTACGCTATGGGTAGTGTGGAATAAACAGACAGATTCTGGGAAGGATCCTGAAGAGGGAAGGGGGGGGAGCAGAGATGGACATGTTCCGACTGCAGTGACCCCCAACACAGTGGACAAGCAAGGACAAGCAAGCAAGTGTGGAACAAGTAGTATGGAGTATAGAATGGGCAGTATGGTATAGGTAGAAGTGGATGGGTAGTATAGGATGGGTGTTATGGTATGGCTAGTATAGGATGGGTGTTATGGTATGGCTGGTATGGAGCATTGTATTAGTTGCATACCCTTTTCAACATTGTAAGATGACCTAAGGAGTGGCCTCAAATCTAACGCTCGGGACCGAACAATGCGGACAGGATATAGAAAACTGTGACCCTCACACTCCCCACCCCCTGCAAAACAACAACAACAACCACAACAACAACCACCTGAACAACCACAACAACAACAAAAACCAACTGAATCTGCAAAGGTCTGCTATTGCCATTGTCGGATATTAAAGTTTTATCGAAGTTCCCGCCATGGGTCTTTTTCTTAACCTTATCTCAACTCAAGTTATTTCTTTCTCTACTTTAAAAAAATGTGTATTTATATTGGTGGTTGGCAGGTGCTTTGATGTGGTTTGATCCTTCTGTCCTATCAAACATCTGTCATTTATATCTCTCCTTCTTTTATAAATTGTATGTTACTCTTTAGTAACACTTGTCATCTTCGGCACTCATGTGTTTATTGTTGTTTGCAAGTGCCTCAGAAAAGAAGCCTTACTAAAACTAAATAATAGATTCGAGTTCAAAGTGCAACGTTCAACTGCAATAATCAATGGTTAAGTTTGAATTTTTGCACCAAACTATTTACACTTCAAGATAAGCACATGATTTTATTTAATCAATGACAACGAATTACAGCCTATCTTTTTGTTTTTCTCTCCGCTGTGACAGACACCGCTGGGAGTACAATGGCGAGCCTGAGATAACGGCAACATTCCATTCAACTGTCATCTCGTCGTGCCAGATACAGACAGATCACGGGTCAAGAGAAGAAGGAAAAAGATACCACGTTGTTTTTCTGTCCATGCTGGTCCATTCAACACTATCTCTCTTTCCCTCCATTTCTCTTCTCTAACCAACGCCTTGTTAAAGGGGCGCATCTTTGAAGGAATAATAACTTTTCGTTCGGACTTTAAAAACATCAATGAACTTGTAACTTGTAACTTGAATGACCTCGATCACAATGCCGGCAAACACACCCGAGGATCAGTGGATTGCTATCCAGCACAAGACCTTCGTCAACTGGGCGAATGAACAACTCAGTTTGGGTAAGCATCTTTTTGAGCGAAGTCTATAAATGGATTTACGTGTTTGGATTAGAGTTAAGTTTATGGTATTAATATTATGAAGTTTGTCGATTGATGCTTAGTTTGAATTAGTGTTTGAGTGTAAAAGACAACTTTGTCAATAGTGTAGCATTGGCCTATATTATAAGTGATATCAATTTTATACCCCTGAACATTGTTATTATGGTTATTTTGAAAAAGAAGGGGGGGGGGGGAAGACGACGGCAGCAAACATAAATTTCCCTAACCACCTCCACCATAGGGCTTGTTAAGTATACTCGTTTTCTTGTGTATATAATCTTACTTTCTGTTGAGACTCAATATGACATGTATTGCAACGGTTAAGGTCTTTATCATTTCATACAAAGATTGAGATCAACGCCTGCGTGAAAAATCTATTTTACTGACTCTCTTCCGCCTTTCTGCCCGAGGTGGCTGGATGAGGTTGGGGGGGG